TAAAACAAAAACAGAAGCTATATAGATATTTCTGACCACTCTTTAGGATTGTGTATTTAATTCAAGCAAGCATATTTGTGTGTGTCTCTACCTGTGTGTAGTGTTCATCTAAACTACATGTACACACACATAGGAATTGCAAATGCAATCAAACTGGTATCTGTTGCCTCAGCAGTATTCCCTTTCTGAATATGGACAGGTGCTGGACAGCCACTGACCTGCATCTACCTGCTCAGCTGTTGTCAAACCAAAACTAATTTTATGATAATTGAAGCAGTGTCTCCTCGGCACCTTATGACTGGCTCCCTGCTTGCAGATGTCCAGATGCAGCGACTAACAATCATCCTGTCAGGAGTGACTAAATTAATGTGCACTTCACTTCATGTGTCTAATAAGTTAAACAGGAGAACCGAGCCTCTTTATGGAATGCAGAATCAGTAATTATACCCAAGCACTGGTACAAAAGAAAGATGCTAATCAGGTTGTTTTAGACTTGATTTTCTGTCACTTGGGTATAGATAGTTGTATTTTTGCCTTTGTTTAAGACTACAGGTGTTCTTCAAGTTTAATAAGTCAATTATGCAAAATGCATGCCTATTCTGTGTATTAAAACAAGCATAAATCAGAAATCAGAAATGTTCCACTGTGTAACAAGATTACCAACAGCTTTAGGTGTATTTGATGAGCATATCCACACCCCTTTATTAGTCCTCTGCTCCATCCCTCACAAGCCACCTAAATCATTTCACGTGTAATAATGTCCATTTTTTTTCATAGCTCTGTGGTGATTATCTGATTGACAGGCAATACAAAATATTACACAGTCTGTGTGTGCCTGATGAAGTGGGGCAGCAGCCTTGGGCTCAATTGTCAATTGTTGCTCTGGTCTCTAAGGCATTCCTTCTGCCGTTCATCCACACAGTTATTGCGTTTAAAATGAAAAATGCCCCAAAACAAGCCTGGATTTAAAATTATCATAAAAATCTACCTCATTAACCACAGGCCAGAATACACACCTGTACATAACACAAACAATTTTAACACATGGCTGTTTTAAGAAAGTAAAAAAAAAAAAAAAAATTAATCTTAAAAAGCTCTCTTATTTAATAGTATTATTGCCCATTATAACTAAGAAACAATAATAAGACAGGCTGGACAGAAGGGCAAACAGAAGGTGATCATGTTGTCAAAAAGGCACAAGTGAACTTTTCATATTGGAATCTTGACTTGTAGCATCACATGTCTGCTTTTTATCACAGTGAACATCTAAGTAAAAATTGATTGTGTTAAAATATACATTAAAGAGTAGGACCTCATCACTATATATTTGAATGAACAACTAAAAAATGCAACTAACTAACTGGCTGATTAACTAGCTTGGGTTCAGGTTGCCCATTTTTCCTTCACTGGTGTGGGCCATATTTAATCCGGCCTCCTAAGACACTGTGATAGCACATAAATGTATTGCTCATCTGTATTCCACAAACCATACCAATGTCTCTATCATTAGTCGCCCTGGATCTGCATTTCTTAAAGTCAATGGTAATCATTCTCCTGTCTCTTCTGTTCCTTTCTTTAATTGCCCTTCTTTTCTCTATTGGTTTCATAAGCTGAGAGGAGCTTTTTGGGTAGTTTTTTCTTTTTCTTTTTTGTTGCTCACTCTGTGCTTTCTAAAAGGAATCAGGATTTCCACTTCTATTTTCTACTCCACCACAACAAATTTGCCCTTAATGTAAAATGGGTTCTGTTCATTGCACCATGCAGACTCAGTCTGCATGTTAAATGTGTATGTGTGGCATGATACCTGAAGTCACTGTAGGGGTGTATGATCCAGGCTCCTGCTGATTTGAGTCTCTCTTGCTCCATGGCAACAGCTTTGTGGGACCCAAACATACGAAGACTGAACTTGTTGACTCCCGGCTGAAGCATGGCACCAAACTGTCTTTGAATGAAGGTGCTCTGGTTAGAGTTGCTAAAGTCCTCTCCATCCAGGCCCATGCCGAACCCACCAAGCCCAGACTGGCATGCCATCTCAGGGGTCCCTACTGTTGTGTTGCAGGCAGTGGTTGTTGTCTCTGCACCAGTGGCCACCACCATGACCCCGGTTCCAGTGGAGGAAGTGGAGGCCAGGGCAGCACGGGATGGTGCAAAGCCCACAGAGCGAGGAGCAGGGTGTGTAGAGCTGGAAGAGGAAGAGGCTGCTGGTGGTGGTAATGCCATGGGTAGGGTCCCCGGGGTGGTGGGGGTGCCCGCAGCACGAAACGGAAGGCTATCCCTGGCGGAGGAGCTCATGATTGAAGGGCGACGGCCCCGTCCACCCATGGAAGAGCTGTCTGTGCAGAAGGAGCCCTTTTCTCCCTCCAAAGAGGCCTGGGACAGCCTATAGCCAGGGGAGGGCAGGCTGCCTTTACTGCGCCGCTTTGCCTCTCCATCACTCCGTCTGGGCAGGGTGTCACCCCCGGTGCTTCCAGGGGTGCCAACACTTCCTGCCACTCCATCCATACCCACTTGGAGAAGGAGGGGGGCTTTAACCTGTAGACGTTGATTACCTGTCCAGATTATTCTACATATGTAAAGGTATCTCTGTCAGTTTCATAAAACAAAAGATGACGTAAAAAGGTCATCTGAGTCCGAGTTCATTCTTATGAAGCTCTCACCTCACACCCCTGCCGTCTCTCCAGTAATGTGGCCATTTTTACCTCTGTGCCCTTTGAAATGGCCCCAGATGATTGAATGATTGAATTTTTTCTAACTCTCTGTTATACCACCAGCTGCATCTTTTCAGTCAGACTTCTACAGCTTTCTCTTTGTCCTCAATGATGTTTCTCCATCATTCCTCCTTCCTTGTCCTTGAAAGGTTGCTTTCCGCCCGCGGCCCTCCCTCTCCTCTCTTCACAGCCGCCCTCAACGCTCCAGCGCCGGTCATATTGGCACCGGCTTCCCGGTCTGCTGTAGATAAGACCCTTGGTCGCTCATTGGCCGTCGGTGTCGCCTATTTCCAGACTGAATATCAAAATGCTGCTTTTTTTTCCCGCCCGTCCAACACACTGTCATTACGTAAGAGATGTTTGGGTCGGAACATCCATGCTGGGGGAAAATGACAAGGACACACGCTCCTTCAGTCAGCCAGAGCAGAAGGATGGTTATGGCATAGAAAGTATCGCCCGATATTGGCGCTCAGACTCCGACGCGCACCGATCCATGCCGAGCGTCCGCAAAAACACGCGCACGGAATATAAGAAACGGTGACGGGGCGCACAAAAGTCAAATCAGCCCCTTAACAAACCCCACGCTGTCAGAGAATACACGGCATGCAGGGATTGTCAGCTTCTAAGGAGAAATGATGGAAAAGCGCACAAAAAAAGTCCACCCGTGACTGAAGCGCTCACAGATGGAGCGGAGACTGGGAACTTGGTCGCGTTATTTCAGGCTTTTAAAGCAGCTCCAGACTCCATTCACACTTGACCCGACTTTCAATGACATTGTGTCCAGGCGGCGTCCTTCTCCGAGGACAGAAAAATGTCTTCGACACATGGAATAGGGAAGCTGCCTTTTCTCCACAACTCCACAATATTAAGAGCCTTCGCCTCAATCTTGAGTATAACAACTTGTTGATCCTTTAAAGGTCCTCAGTAGAGTGGCTATACTCACTTCTCTCACTCTGACAGTCTGCACGTCCACGGAGGCGCGCTGAAATGAGTATTAAATAAATAAATCTGGATATAAAGGTCCGGATCTAATCGTCCTGTTACCATGGCACCCGCATCCCCATCACCACCCCTCCCTCCCCACTATAGGCCGCGTGCCCGGCTGGCGCAAGACGCACGCATGTCTCACAGGTATGAGTCGCGCGTCATCCCTTCTAGACAATGCAACCAGGGAGCGGCTGATGCGGAGTGATGATGAAACTTAAAGCCGGAAAAATGGGAGAGCCTCCATAGGGCGAGGAGAGCTGGGACCACATATCTACCTGTACTGTATAAAAAGGCACACATTTTATTCTGTCAGACTAAAATCAGACTAAAATGTTCATCCTTAGTTAGGCATCCTTACTTTTTTAAATATTTCTAAATGAAAACGGATTTGTAGATTTTTAAATACTAATGCAAATCATGTCCCCCCATTTTTTGTACTTTTGATTATTTCTTTTAACCTGTATTACTTTGAACAAATATTTTCCTTTCAGAAGTTCTTGTTATACTTTGCTGGTATTTTGGCTAATTTCTCCATATAGAATTGGTGTAATATATTCAGGTTTGTGGTCCAAATTTAGGATTAATATAGGAGGGTTTTTATGGCTGTTCCAACTCATTACTTTGCTGCCCGTAGGCCACTGTGCAACAACCTTGTTGGTATTTTTGTCATTGATTTGATAATCCCTTTCTGTAAATATTTTAGATTAATTTCTCAGATCTTCTACTTGAAAAATGCACCAGTGTCTCCTGCAACAAAACAAACCCAAACAAATTGTGTTACCATTCCCATCCTTCCCAGTGGGGCTGGTGTCCTCAGACTTCCAGGTTTCCCTTAATTATATCAATGTAAAAATAGCTGATAATTTTTCTTTTTTTCGCTAATTGGATCACTTGGGATTCTCCAAACATTACGGTATTTGGTGATGAATGCATTAAGATATTTCTGTTCAGCTTTAAGTAGCCTTTCAGCGCAGTGCAGGATCTTTTTGCCAGAACCATGCATTATTTGAAAATTTAAGTAAGCCTTGTAATTTTCGGGTTACAGTTTAATACGAAGAAAAGAAAGGTACATCTCTGTGGAAAAATTCCTCAAATATTATCTGTTTAAAATGCCTGCTTGTAACTGCTAAAAAAATAATGTTGGATTTTCTGATATGATAAGAGAAGAGGATGTTAACCTCTAGTAGTTGTATTAATGTTTTACATGGACAAACAGTGCAGAGACATAATCATGTTGGAGAAAAGAAGCTCAATGGTTCAGTTTGTCAGCTTCCTGAAATAAATAGAAGGACATCTGGAGCTTAGGCTTCAAGTTTTATTTGAAGGAGTTATTCAACATGCATAAGACCAGCTTCAGAGGTACATGTTTCATTATCATACAGCAAACAGGAGATAGTGCTTTTGTGACACAGCTCTCTGTGCTATTCTTTAGCTTTTCACTACATCATAATCAATTATTAAACCCAGAAAGCTTTCCCAGGGCCGATCGGGGGTCATATTTTAAGTCTGGTATGTAGTTGTCACTGGACGCTCACTGCCCTCATGATGTTGGTGTGACCGGACCCTGGGATCCAGCCCGTCACCACAATCACCATGTCACCCGTCTTAAAGAATCCTCTTGCTTTCCCTGCATTGAGCATAGAGAAAACTGTAAGAGTAACACATTATTCAAATTCAGGGATGGAGAAAAACGCACTGACCTATTTCCATGCCAAAGTTGACCCTGTTGTCAACATCATCAGCCCAGATAGGAGCAGGAAGAGGGTGGAAAAGAGCAGGAAATACTCCTCTTAACAGCTGGGACTGACGGGCCACCTGTGGAAAATAAAATAGCCATTTGAGGTCAACTTTGATATGTTTTTACTTCCAGTTACTGGATTTACAATTCATTTACAGAAACTTCACACCCATTTAAAACAAAATACTCTAATATCCTGTATTCCTGAGGTCATCACAAAACAATTTTGTGGCATAAGTTCAGCATTAAGTTATTTTTGTGTATGAAAAATGTAAATAATTCAAACCACAATGCTTTGTCTCTGTGATTTTACCTTCTCACATTATTCTTTTTGACAGCTTCCCTTTCATTGCAGATTTTTTCTGTTTAAGTTCCCTGTTTGGGAGGAATGAACTATGGCACTATGGTCTAGCAGAGCCTGTTTTCTTTCAGTTCTCTAAGTTTAGCTCACTTTTTTCTCCAAAGATTGCTTCTTAAATCTTCTCTTTCACATCCACGCTATGAATATTTACAACAGAATGTGATAGTAAAATAATGAGTGTATCACATATTACTCAGTGTTTTTATAAACAGATGACTCATCAATTATGCTGTAATTCAAAACAAATGCACAACTATTTATCTGAGAGTTTTGAACTGAACTCAACCTGAGGGCTTCTGGTGACGGCAATGATTGGGCAGCGAGGCCGGTACCTAGACAGAAGATGTGCAGACCTGCAAAAAAGGTGGATGCAAGGACAGAAAGAAATTTGTCACTAATAAAAAAGGTTTTCTTTTTTGTTGGTGATATGAATTTTTCCTTGCTATGGAGAGAGAAACATTTCACCTTATAATGTATTATCTAAAATCATGCAGTTTATATATTCTAATACAAAATACGCAAAGGCCCTTAGTTATCAAGTGATTGTCAGAATGTGGTGTTGTTGGAGTAGGAACCAAATGCAGAGAGAAGGTGATTCAAATGATATTTTGAAAAGAATCAGTTGCAGGGGTGTGAGAACTAAATAAAGTCACAAAACAGACATGAATGCAGACAGGGGGGAAAATGCATGCAAAATATGAAAAAAGGTGGGAAAAACAATAGAATCAAGAAAATTGAGAAAAGAACAGAGCTTATATAAGGGAAGGGTAAAAAAATGGAAAGCAAACCAGCTGTGGCAGAGGGAGGCCAGAGCTGCTAAAGGAGGAGGCCTAAATAACCAGAGCAAAAACAGCAATACAAGAAACCACATGAAAAATATCTAAAGACATAATCAAAATGTACACAGAGCACTATGCAAACACCCTATTAAACCTATAAGGAAGACACCTAACAGCAGATAAGCATGGGGTTTCATAAAGCGGGACAGATGGAACCAGTATTCAAAGCCAGACAGTCAGTAGGAAAGTTCAAAAAGTTTATTTAACTAAAAAGCTGTGGATCTGCGGATCGCAGCGGCTGCAGGAGGGGCGGGGCACAACCCATCACTGGCACTCTGGTTTAACAGTTCAGTCCATCCTCTCAGAGGAAAGCAGGATCCAGCCAATGGAGTACAAAACGAGATCCGGCGCTGAGCCGTCCAGAGCTTACTGATGCAGCAGCTCCAATGAGCAGGCAGGAAACCGATTCCAGTCAGGGATACGGATCAAACAGAACAGGAATCTGCAGCCCGATCAGGGGTTCGGATCCACACAAGGAACAGACACAGGAATCCAAGGTGCGTGAAGGCAGGTTCAGAGTTCCATGCGTCGAGCCACGAGCTCAGACAGAAACGTACAGATGCAGAGAGGCAGAATCCAAAAGAAGTCCAAAGATGGTTCAGACAAACAGGCCAGATGCTGAGAAGCTCTCATCACTGAGTAATGAATAAACTTGTCTGAAGATACTGGCTTGTGAATAATCTCCTCACTGGAAGAGGGACATGAACCTTGGACTAACTAAAACTAACTAAACAAACATACAGGCATGAAACATGAAACAAACAGAAAACAATGATCTGGCCCCGACAGCTGGGCTGAACCGTATATATAGCAGAGGGAGCAGGTGAATAAGATGAACAACAATTAGAAAGCGGTACGGGAATGGCAGGTGAATGAAATGAGTAATTAAGGTCAGCATCAGGGCAGATCATGACAGGGGGGAAATTAACTAAAGAAATCAATACCATAGGAACCTGCTAAACAGAAAAAAAAGAGAAAAGAGAAGCATCAAAATACACACAAAAATAAACACACACCTATAGATAATGGGAATGGGTTTAGTTTATCATCAGCAATTTTTCATCATGTGTCTCAGTTATCACTACAGGAGCCGAAAAATCTACCTGCAAACCTTCAATGGATCACTCTCCGCTCATGACGCTTTGATCTGCTGTCTGTTTTAAAGGCTGATGATGAATCACTTCCTCAATACTTTTGAATCAAACGTTCCTTTTTTCTTTGGTGCATAATAGTGAGTTAAAGTTTCGATGGTCGAGTATTGTCCTACTTACTGATTCCTTCTTTTTGTGTGTTTTTTTTATTCAGTTAATGTTACAGGTCAACATTTCTAAGCAATGTGAAGAAATAATTGCAGAAACTACCGTACTGATAACTGTCAACACATTTCTTTTTTTAGAACTTGAATAATTTTATTTCCACTCTTCTGAATATACAATTTTTTAGTATGAACGGCCAGTTTAAAGGCCATGCCAAAAGTATCTTAATCAGTTTTAAGCCAAGGCCTGTACTACAGTGTTCCAGAGGAGGGCATGATCATTGTACTGCTGTAAAACCAAAGTGGGCTAAGGCACTGGATGTCAAATTAAATGCTTGCCCTCCACCTTCAGGATTTGTCTACAGAGCCAACAGGTCTGCTGACGATGCTGTCAACTTGGCCCTTCACTACATTCTCCAGCACCTGGATTCCACAGGTACCTACCCCAGGATGTATTTGTGGATTTCAGCTCTGCCTTCAATACAATAATCCCAGCTCTGCTTCAGGAGAAGCTCTCCCATCTGAGTTTGCCTGACTCCACCTGCAGGTGGATCACAGACTTCCTGTCGGACAGGAAGCAGCTTGGGAAGCTGGGAAAAAGTGTCTCTGACTCACAGCTCATCAGCACTGGTTCCCCCCAGGGTTGTGTTCTTTCTCCTCTGCTCTTCTCCCTGTAAACCAACAGCCGCATCTCCGGTCATCAGTCTGTCAAGCTTCTGAAGTTCTCAGATGACACTGCTCTCATCTGACTTATCTCTAATGAGGACAAGTGCATGCGGGAGGTTGACCATCTGGCGACCTGGTGCAGGGAGAACAATCTGGAGCTCAACGCTCTAAAAACAGTGGAGATGGTTGTTGGACTTCAGGAAGAACTCAGCCTCAGCAAGCCCCATCATCGTCTGAGACTCCACAATTGACACGGTGGAGTCTTTCCGCTTCCTGGGAACTATAATCTAACAGGACCTAAAGTGGGAGCTGAACATCAACTCCCTCACCAAGACAGCCCAGCAGATGATGTATATGTCAAGGACAATGATGGTGCACTTCTACTCCTCCATCATTGAATCCTTCCTCACCTCCTCCATCACCATCTGGTACGCTGGTGCCACCGCAGATTACAAGGGCAGACTGCAGCGTGTGATCAGGTCTGCAGATAAGGTGATTGGCTGCAATCGTACATCTCTCCAGGATCTGCACACCGCAGGAAAGATTGTGACTGATCTCTCTCATGTTTTCTGGAATGATAGCGACTTCTTCTTGTACCACTGTTTGAAGAAGGTGTCTTCCAGAAACTGGCAGTAAGTCTGGGAGTTGATCTTGACTCCATCATTAACCCGAAAAGGTCCCACAAGCTCATCTTTGATGATACCAGCCCATACCAGTACCCCACCTCCACCATGCTGGCATCTGAGTCGATAAGGAACTTGCTGCCCTTTACTGATCCAGCCTCGTGCCCATCCATCTGGGCCATCAAGACTCACTCTCATTTCATCAGACCAAAACACCTTGAAGAAATCTGTCTTCAGACATTTCTTGGCCCAATCTAGACGTTTTGTCTTGTGTGTCTTGTTCAAAGGTGGCCTTTTTTCATCTTTTCTTACCTTGGCCAGGTCCCTAAGAATTGAGCACCTTGTGCTTCTTGGCACTCCAGACATGTTGCAGCTCTGAAATATGGCACAACTAGTGACTAATGGCTTCCTGGCAGCTTCACGCTTGATGCTTCTTAATTCATGGGGAGTTATTTTGATTCTTATTTTTTCAACATGCTTCTTGCGCCCCTGTTGGCTATTTACCCTGAACCGCTTGATTGTACAATTTCCAAACTGCTGCACCCCTCTAAAAAGACATCTGACAATTTTTTACTCTGTCTGTCTGTCAAATCTCTTTTCTGACCCATTTTGCCAAAGGAAAGGAAGTTGCCTAATAATAAAGCACATATAAAAGGTGTTGATGTCATTAGGCCACATCCCTTCTCATTACAGAGATGCACACCACCTGATTTACTTAATTGGTAATTGGCTTTCAAGCCTATACAGCTTGGAGTAGGACAACATGTATGAAAAGGATGATGTGGTCAAAATACTAATTTTCCTAATAATTCTGCACATAGTGTATCAATGCTACAAGCTGGGCTCCCGTCTTGGAATATACTGCCTATGTAAGTTAAGAGATGACACACCGTCATTGGCCTGGTCATGTGACCTGGATGAACGTAAAGCTTTTTGGCCGCAGGCTCTCATATAGTCAAGGAGCTAAGGCAGGAGGAAAATTGTCTGTTTTCTTTCATTATATTGAATGTCTTGTCTCTGCAGTGGGTTTTATAGGTTTCTGCTTTTTACACTCATAACCAATGTTATGCTCTTTGATGTTACCACACCAAAAAATTATCAGTCCACTTAATATGTTTTACATTGCAAAGTAGTAGAAATTAAAAGGAGTTGAGGTAGCACTGAATACTGTGCTACCACACTGAACATTATACCACCGAGATGGCCCTAGCTTCAAGTACTAGCCTGTACTCCAGGTTTGTATGGGTTTTCTGTGGGTACTCTGCATTAAACCCACAAAATTTCACTTTTAGCTTATTTGGTCTCAATGCCCTTAATTTAGATTTTAACTGTGTATTTTTATGTCCTGTGTTTCCCTGTGATAACCTGTCAACCTTTCTGGTGGAGTGTAGACCTACCTCACCTCTCCCCTACTGTCTGCTGGAGACCAGCAGATCAATGATCTGATGTCAGATCCTGGCTATTTAGGTTAGGGTTATTATAGGAATCTTCTGCTATACACAGAGTGAAGGTAATACAAGAAAATAGAAAGTAAGCTTATATTTACAGAGTTGTAAAGAAAACCTTATATGCATGTTGATTGATTGTTTACCTGCCACTGGTGGTGAGGACTATAATTGCCCCAGCACAGCATTTAAAGGATGATTCTACAGCTCCAATTGCAGTGACTTCTGTGGGGTCAGAGGACAGAGGGGTGAGCCGACGCAGCTCCTCGAACAGCTGGTGGTGGTAGATGGCAGCCTCAGCTTCCCTGCAGATCTGACATAAAATAAGGGTGAACAGCAAACCGAAAAGAAACAAGTATTATTAGGGGTTTGAATTCAAATGTAACAAAATTGACCATATTTGCACACATACAGAGTGCATCATTCCCACTGCCTCTACAGGAAAGAGTCCCTTGGCGGTCTCCCCAGATAACATCACACAGTCGGCTCCGTCGAGCACAGCGTTGGCCACGTCACTGCTCTCTGCTCGGGTCGGGCGCGGGTGAGAAACCATGCTTTCCAGCATCTAAAAATACAAAAATAACATCCATTTCGCACCTTTAAAGGGACTAAATCACTGCATAAATCTAAGGCCTTTGACCTTTAAACCTAAATGTTTTTCAAAAATAAAAAAGAATGAAGAGATAATGTAAAATAATCAAGAGAGAAAGTGAAGGCTTTGTAGATGGATAGTACAACAGTGAAGGGGAACTAAAAAAAAAATCAATGAAGCAGAAACAGCTAAATATGAATGACCAAGATCATTGTTAGCGAATGGGACACTGAACAATGTATGAGTCGATAAGAGAGGCGGGCAGTTGGCAAATAAGTTAGCTGGTAGGATCGCCTAAGAGAGAGTGGGTATTTTATACAGTTAGAGAGCTGCAGATAATGCTGATTAGTGTGTTGGTGTGTGGGTGCTGTTTCTGTGCTCAGGTCTCGAGTAGCAACCTGCTATAATGCCGTCACTGCGAGTCAAGAGCAGCAGCATAAACAAGATGCAGCACAATGACTCAACATGGCTGCAGGAGTGTGCAAGCATGTGTGGTTCTGACAGGGCTTCTGTGAGAAATTACATATGGGTGTTTTATCCTGGAGTGAGTGGTTAATCAGCATCTTTAGGTTCTTATTGTGGGTTTACATAGACTTATTTGACATTAGACTAGCTAAACATGCAGTTACAAGTCAACATTTTTACCACTTCAGCATCATTTCACAAGACTACAAGTGTGCTCTAACCTGTGTGGCACAAATGACTGGCTTTCCTGCAGAGTTGCAGCGCCCAATCATCATCTTCTGGGCAATGAAGACCTTCTCAGCAGGGATCTCAATCCCCAGGTCGCCCCTAGCAACCATTACACCATCACTCTCAGCCAGGATCTCCTCAAAGCTGACACAAAATTAGGAGCAATTAGGAGGTTGCATATTTTAAAACACTATCAAATAAAATATTTTTAAATGTAACCTTAACTATTTAATTTTGTTTTGTGAATTAAATATTAAAAAAGATAATCAGATCCTTAAATTAAATAGAAAAATAATCAAACTCAATAATTGTTTATGTTTAAACATTAAAAATACAATTCAAAATCAGGAAAAGAGAAATTATTATCTTAGATTTATTCAGTTTTGACAAAAAAAAAAGATTTCTCAGTCTATTTACAAAAAAGATTATACTTATTTGATTTTATTTTTTTTAAACTTAATTCTACATACCAGTCTACAATACCAGTGAACCAATAAAAATAAAATTCATTTCTAAAAATAAAATGAATAATAGTAGATGACTTAACAAAATCCAGAATCAAGTAAAATAACAAGAAAAAAAGGATCTTAATTAGGTTAAGAAGTACAAAAACTATGAAGACTAAGTTAATTAGTATTAGTAAAATTTGAGGTTGTTTGACATTTAGATATATATGTGAATTTATTAATTCAAACTAAATGAAAACCATTCTGAGGAGAAAAGTGGTGATGACGTTTCAGATACAGATCCTGCTACACACACTCATCATTTTGTGAAATTAAATTTTCAGGATCCAATCTGTAAAAATCACTTAAATATTAACCTGGTGTTTAATACTGTTAGCAGCCAGCGAGCAGCTTCAGAGGAGCATCAGATGAGTAATGGAGGCAGAGGAGCTGGAACATAAACTGTGTCTGATATTTTATATTGTAGCAATAACTTACAAAGACAACCACAGCGCTCGCTCATCAAACGTGTCTAGTTCATAGCTGACAAATGATCCTGGCTTCCAGGTGGCGGTCTGAAGGAGGGGCCAGACCACCAGCAACTTTAGATTTATGAGAGTTGTCAAAATCTAATTATGGGATATGCTGCCTGCAGATTCTGCAGGGCTGAAAAGTGTTGCCTACTAACATTTTTATTCTGGAGCTTATTTCCAAAAACTCACTTCTGAACCCCTTGTCTGCTCTCCACCTTGCTGATCACTTTGATATGTCGACCATGAGCCCCCAGAGCACGTCTAACGTCCTTCACATCCTGGGCTGAACGGATGAAGCTAGCGAACACAATGTCCACACCGTGGGAGACACCGAACTTCAGGTCAGCCTCGTCCTGCTCGCTGACCGCCTGCAGGCCTATCAGGTCGCAGCTGGGCAGGTTGACACCTTTACGGCTGCAGAGGACTCCACCGGCCTCCACCACTGTATCCACCCACTCAGAGCCTGCAGGGGGAGGGATGCACCATTATATGGAGTGTATAGAAGAACATTAACACATATTGTAACTAAGAAGATGGAGAGGCTGGAGGCCAATAAATATCAGTAACATATAGTTATATTCTGAATATACAACCACCAAAACTAAAAAAAAAAAAAACATCATAAAAGTCAGATTCTTACAAAGCTTATATTTTCTGCATGCATTTGGATTGTGTAACCTATGAAAGTATGCTTATTACCTATTTCCAATACCCTGAGTGCAAGCAGGCCATCATCGATGTAAATCCTTTTTCCCTTTTCCAGAACTTTAGGCAAGTTCGGATAGTCCACCCAGATTACCTTCCCGTCTGTCTTGTCTTTGTCACTCTCTGCAGTCACCACTCGCACATGGCTGCCCTTCACCAGCTCCACCTCTTCCTCCACTTTCTAAACCACAGATATAAAAAAACAAAGACACGCTGTCAGGAAGAGACACACTGAAATAAGAAGAGCTTTCTGGCAATACATTTGTCCTTGTACACCTACAGATGAAAGAGAGTTATCCAAAGCCTCTGGATGATAAAAAGCAAAATGAAAGCTCCACTTTTCGGTAAAACTAATATTTTTCTTAGTGTCATCATGGTGTCACTTGTAATATTTGTTCCACAGAATCTGCATTTAGATTGAGTTGACGCCTGCTTTTATCGAGCTCACACCCTGTCAGGAACATGTCTTTATAATGAGTGATTTAAAAGCTGCCATGCTCTGATAAAACTTGCTTTACAATATGATGCGAGTGGCACTGACTCACAAAGCTCCAGGAGCAAAAACAACCCTTTAGAGGTACATCCATATAATTCCTGTCAAAGCTGTTTGTATCTTCAATGACATAGAAAACGGTGTTAAACTGAATCTTCAGCAACATTAATATTGAAAACTACTTTATAAATATGTGATTGATACGGATGTATGGTTGTGCCATGACAAAACAAATAAACAGGCAAAGTCTTCTTAGGCTGTCCACCAACTGGCTGGTAAAATCTCATGTAGGTTTTATACTGCCGCTTTTTTAATTTCCTGTGCTGCTGTGCTAACACTACCTAAATAACATGCAGACATTCCCATTTTTAAACGTGTTGTTCCTCATCTTACCTTCCCTTTATCATTTTCTTTTGAGGATGAATACAACCCTCTCAACGGATGTTTGTTTAAAGTTACTGTTGTTTAAAATTGCTGTTTCTTTTAGCAACTACAAGAGTATGAGTCCCAGCAAAACTACTACTAAAGTATTAAGCAGTGAACTTGGCCATTCGGTGTTTTTACTAAATATTGCTGATGACTTTTTCAAGCATATATATGGAGTCAGAGGTAAGCATTTTAATGTTTCATCTCTTCATTTTTTCAAGCATCTTTTAATGTGTAAAAGGAGAGGGAGACATACCAATTCAAGTTTTTAATTTGTTTTTCACATCGCAGCCACAAACTTCAATGTATTGTCTTGGGATTTTATGTTGTAGACAAGCAATGAATGCAATTAATGAAATTTATACTGAGACTTTGTATTTAGTTAATCGACATATTGAACTTTATTTGTAAAGTGTTTTACACACCCATGAATGTATCAGTGTTGCAAAGACCCATAAAAAAAGAAATAAAAAACATGAAATAAGCAATAACATTCAGCATTTACAGTAAAATATAGCATAGGAGCACTTAAAACAGTTCAAATCAAGAAAATGTATAAAAATATGTGTATATATTACTAAAACCAGACTGATGCTTCTGCTTAAATGAATTTAAAAAAAACAATAAATGAGTCTTCCAAAGAAGTGTCATGCCATAAGCTTTTATATAAACTTTGAGCATTGGTGGAAAAATGCAAAATGCTTTTCTCTGCTCTCCAACCCCTGCATAACCCTCCCACAGAGACAAATCACAGGGAAGTGACACCCTTCTGGCTTTGCTTAGCATGAACGTATTGCAATCCTCACACACACCGTCTTCACCCATGGGACCCCAGAGAGACCACTTCAGGAGAAAAAAAAATCCTAAGTGGGATTCACTGCAGGCCAGACTTAAGTTAAGTGGAACTGCTGCCTAATCCCAGAAACATATTGCTCTAAATCAGATCGTTAGCAATATTTATCTCTGAATTTACAGGAGTAACTTGGAGGTATGAGACTGATGAACCATGGGCATCTATAAAAGGACACATTTAGCCTCCTGGCTAGACCATCCGGCTACAGATGTGTTTTTCATGAATTCTGATCATATCATGTGTTTACTGTTGTCTAAGGCAGGCTAATCATCTTTAATAGAATTGATTACTCCAAAGGTCTTCCTAAAAAGTCAGTCAGACAGCTACAGCTGATCCAAAATGTTGCTGCCCACATACTCACTAGGGGAGTGTTGGCCTAGTGGTTAGAGCAGTGCGCTTGTGCTCTGTGAAGGTTGCAAGTACCCGCTTCGATCCCCACAGCTTGCACTCTGGGTTCCTGAGCAAGACCCCTAACCCCACACTGCTCCCCGAGCGACCCACAATGGCAGCCATCTGCTCCCCAAGGTGATGGGTTAAATGCAGAGGTAAATCTCTCCAGTGTGAGATCAATAAAGGTCAATTATTATTATTACTAACACTAAGAATGTGGAGAACATCAGCCCAATCCTCACACTGGCTCTCTGTATCTCAGAAAATGTTAGTCTATAAATCACTGAAGCTGAAATACATGTCAAACTTGTTGTTAGTGAAACAACAGGCCTTTTTGTTTAGATCTACTCAGCAAACCCAGAACCAAAAAGGCAGAAGCGACGTTTAGTTCTTATGCTTCACTAATCTGGAACAAATTCCAGAAAAGGTTACAAGTGCTGAAAACTTAAGTTGGCTTAAAAAAAAAAAAAAATGACATTTGTTTGGAGTAGCCTTTGACTGTGCTGCCATAAAATCCTAATATAGTAGGTATGTATTTTGAAGCTGAAACCTAAGAGATTGCAAAAACTATAGGGAAAATAAATACTGTACCTGCGTAAGCAATGTGCACGTTGTTCAAACACTAAGCACAAAAAAAGAAACACAAAAGGAAGCAAAGGGAAAAGCAATAAGTGGAGTTTAATGTTTGGGGGAAACTTTCAGTGATTTACGAGACACAAGAAGTGGGAATCACTTGTCGTGCAGTGCGGTTTGTAAGCTAATTAAGCCATGAAGACTCTGCTAACACCTTTGAGGTATTTGTTCAGCACTAAAACACAAACAACAACACAATACAATGATGATGAAAATACAAAGCAGCTCACACCTACAGTTGTTTTTTATTTATCAGAAATGAAAACCTGGAAAAAAAACACAATTATGTTCAGCACAAAGGAATTGATGTTTTCTGCACCTCTTTGTTAACAGTGTTTGTTTGACAGAGAAGCACGATAGACTCACCCCTTTAACCAATCCAGTGCGGATCTCAGGGCCTTTCGTATCCAAAGCGATGGCCACGGGTCGATAGTACAAAGGGTCAGAGGTTATGGTTTCCACCGCCTCCCTGATGTTTTTAATGGTCTGGCTGTGGTACTGAAAAGAAGAGAAGGAGAGTAATTCATGAGTGAGTGAAATCCAGAATCACAGAGAGTGGGTGAGGTGAGAAGGAGAGCGTTTTTCATTTAACTAGACGTACTTCATGGGATCCATGAGAGAAATTTAGGCGAGCAATATTCATCCCCGCTTTGACCATCTCCTGGAGCCTGGGAATGGATCGAGAGGCAGGACCTGTGGGAAAGAAAAACAGATTAAAGAAAATAAGATAATCAGATAATTAAGGCAACATGATAATCATCAATCAAATTAAACAGACTTTTTAATATAGTTTATTAGACCCTCAGATGGATGGATGGATGGATGGATGGATGGATGGATGGATGGATGGATGGATGGATGGATGGATGGATGGATGGATGGATGGATGGATGNTAGATAGATAGATAGATAGATAGATAGATAGATAGATAGATAGATAGATAGATAGATAGATAGATAGATAGATAGATAGATAGATAGATAGATTAGTTTTATCCTTTATCTTGGCCATTTTCCCTCAGTTGCTCAGTTACCTGTTTCCACAGATTTTATTCTCTCCTTTTTGGACATTTTTGTTGACAACGTGGTTTGTTCATTTCTGCTCCTTTCGTAAGTCAGGCTGTCCTAATAAATATTCCCCTCTCTCCTTCCTGATTTTGGGTCCACCACACCTTAACAACTTTAAAAGTACAGTATAAGCACTTATTTACTAGAGTTGTATCATCTCTAAATTTAAAAACATTTTCAAAGATTCAAAGACTAAATTTTAATTAAATTTTTTTTGTTTCCTTATCGAAAAGCATCGCTTTAATATGACTCTATGTTATGTTACTCAGTAATAAGGTATGAATCTAACACTTGTGTTCTAGTTAAGTGCTCACATTGGTTTTCTCTGGTTTCTCTGTTATCCTCCCACAGTTCAAACACAACCTTGTCACAGTAAATAAGAACTCTAAATTAGCTGTGGGTGTGAATAACTGTCTGTGCTGTTTCTTTAGCTGCTGTGACTCTATGATTGTTTAAAGCAGAACTAGTCTTTAACTGTTTGGATCTCTTATTCTAACAGGATGGTTCCAGAAAGGTTCAGGAGTGGAGTCACACCTTGACCATGACTCTTATCTCTGGATAAGTTTACCTAAATTTGCACATTCACCCCAATTTCCCCTGCCATCTAATCCCTAATCAACTACCGTAAGTACTTCACCTCTGCCTATTTTCTTCTGCTCCACTTCCTAGATTTTCATTATAAATTTCTCTGGTTAAGCTTGTTCTTCTCAATTCAACTATATTTAGTTGAAATTAAAAATATTAGAACTGAAGCCAGATAACCTATAATTCTGCACACTGCCTTTATTTTCATTTCTTTTTGTTTTGTTTTTATATTTCTTGGCTTCAGGCATGCAAAGGATATGATTAGAGAACTTCTAACTCATATTGTGTTGGAAAGTTATAATATAAACCTTTTTAACTGTAGACATTTCTTATTCATAAATGAACTTTTCACTCAAAACTGTAAAGAAAACAACAAACCCAAGTCTAACTCACTCAGTTTCAAACAGCCAAATAAATCACATTTATTTAATTACAGCCCTGATTCATTCAGAAACAAATCTGTCCAATGCAATTTTCTTCTTTATTGATCTCATTTTTCATCCCTTGCCTTCATTCAACCACTCTCTCCAATTCCTCCCTGTTTTACTCCAGTAGGGGAAGGTCCTAATTTGAGGATTATCATGACTGATTAAAGCTGTATGCTTCACAATGAGGAGGCACAGTTTTGGTTGTTTTAGAGTTAATTTCTGGCCTAGGCAGATAGCAAGCGTTTCCACAGACTTTCTTTATCATTCACTGTTGATGCCCTCCTTACATATGTGGAATTTAATAATGTCCCATCTCCACCCCTGGACCCTAATTGGGCTATGTGTTGCTTTTGTACTATCTGTAAGATAACTAAACCTAACCCTATGTAAATGGAGGATGCACTGTCTGTAATTAACCTAAAGTATTTTAGGGTCTGATTTACCAGACTAACATTTTTAGACAAGGATATTTATACTTTGTGCTTTTAAGTAATCTACCAGGACGTTTGTAGTAATAAGTTACCATATATCTACAATATCCACTTGTTTGTTGTTGTTGCTTTTTTCTATTCTTGGTTTCTGTCCTTACTTCAAATATGACCTCTGTCTGCCCCTTTTACACAGTTAAAGTTTTTATAAGCAAAATGCAATTCAAGTCTGGCAGTGATGCAGTGATCATAGGCGTTAATGTTATATTAATCTCTGACATGTAATGCTTTATCTAAACCATTGCTCCTTCCTAAATACAACTTGAAGACTTGTTTAAAGAAAGACCAGATTTAGTATGTTTTAATGTTAATTATGAGGCCGAAACAGAAACTTTGTTTTCATTAGAATCTTGCAAAGGATATTGAGGTAAATCAATATGGCAGGATGTTGATTGACTAGCAAAACTTTATCCAGATGTATTGGTTTCCAAACATTTATGCATTGGCACACTGACATTCTAATAGGTTGAGGCAATTTTTGAAGCCTGTCTCAACTATTTGATTTATTCCTCTTGTTAAAACATCTAACTGTGTCCAGAGTTCAACCAGACAGCTTTAAATTTGAAGGTAAGTTCAGTCATTTTTAATTAAACCTCCATCTGTACACTTCTTGCATTGCACAATGCTACTGCCAGACAATCAAATCTACCGCCTACTTGCATAACTGTAAAGACAGTGTTCGTCATACAGGACAATATCTTGTCAGCTTGAAATGATAAAGATTACGTTGAATGTTGGATTAACATTCCAAATGTTGGAATTGAGCAAATCTATTATGTTTCTATAAATTAATTCACATTTAGACCATATTTCCTGTTGTATACAACTGTAATTTTTAATTACAACGATAAGAAAATGAGGCTAGATTTGGTAATTAAATGTTTTTTCTATATCTGATCCTTACTGGTTATTTTAGATGATACAGAAATAAAATTACTACCATAAAATAAACCTTCATCAGAGAGTAAAGTTGCCTTTTTACTGTTCTTCTCATTTTCTGAGCACATGAATGATTTTAGAAATGAAGATCAAACTGGCAGGGCCAGAAAACAAACTTTAAAAATCCAACCCCTCCCTCTGAGCTGGTTATGACACCCACCGATTGTGCAGATTATGCTGGTGTTGCGGGCTGTGATTGGCTCCTGATCGATGTCCAGCAGGCAGAGATGCTCCAGGAAGGTGTCAGCCATGCTGGCATCCAGCTGCTGGCGCTGAATGAAAGAGTCCGGCATTGTCATCACATCTGAGTAGCGCCTGATGACAGCTGAAATAACAGGAAGAACATTGTTAGAGGGGACGTTAATTGTGAAACTCTGCTGCCAAACCTAGCTGTGAAAATGAACGAAGGGTAAAATATAACAGCTCTATCAGTGATTACTAAGAATGATACATTTCTCATTTTCAGTCAGACGCTGGCCTGACATTAACAACCACCTGCAGGGGCCACTCAGGATCACATGCTGACATTCAGCTGTGTTTGTAGCAGGTAATAATAGGAGCATCACAGTGCTCTGCAGACGTTCTTTGAAAATTGAGAATACTTTGGTAATTAGCAGGGGGAGAAAGTCATTCAAAGCAGATTTTTTTCTCTACTAAAGGTTTTTACAACATCTTTATCAGTTGCAAATAAATGTTTACCTCTTCAACTGAGCAAAACATCAACCGGATACAATAAAATGCTCAGAAATGATATGGTGGATTTTGCTTGAAAGAGTCTCATAAACATGGTGATCAAACTCAAACTTTCAGATACAGTAGTTCACTCTAAAAGTAAAATCGTGGCTTAAGGTGTTGGCACCCCTGTAAATAAAATATTCTGCCAAAAATTCATTGTAATTACAGGTTTTGTTCTGCACATGTTTTCTTTCCTTTTATTTGTTTTGTAAAAACTTTAAAGTAGAGGAAAAGGCTTAGTTTAACACACATCTTTGAGTTCTCTCAGTATCTCTGCTATGGAGGTTTGTTAGTTGGTCAGCAAGATTACAGAAAAATTCATGGACGAATTGTTCTGAAATTTTTAACATAGGTGTGTCTGTGCCTGACTTAGACCCAGACCAAATTTTAGTGGCACTCTGGGTCCCAATATGGAGGCAGGTATTACTTTAAAGGATTCCTTAATGAGATAGAGAAATGAGCTGCTTTATTACGATTTTAAAAAGAAGCCATTTATTTTGACATACCCATTTTGAGTTTTGCTTAAACCATTTCAAATTTGTCTTTTTTTCTACATCTTTTGTGATCAATAGAAAAAGTAGGTTGCAAAGATCCTGCAAGAATCTATACAATAAATCTATCCCACCAAATATTTTTCAATTATATTGAAGTTTTTGTCTTAATATAATCAAACATGACAAGGCTTAAATTGTGTGAATACTTGTGCACATTTATGCACATTATTTCAAGGCTCACAGTTACTAATCATGTCAGGGTAATCTGACCATTCTAATAAGATAACTCTATGCACATAAACTTTAAAGAGAAGCACTTGCATCATATGGGTTCAAATTCTTCCATTCAAAGGATCCACTTTTTGTGGTGATAAATTTGATGTTGGGGAACCAGCTTTGCAACAAGCTAAAACGCATCAAAATATGTTTTAAAGTGGCTCAAAATATATATTTTTTCCTATGTGAATAACTGCTTTATTGTTGAAAGTGCAGCAAAACCATTTGTATTCATAGTCATTCATGGTTTCCTTCAACAGCGAGGCTCCATTCTCATTTTTCCTTCAGCAGGACCTGTTTTCTGTTTTCTTGAAGAAAAACCACTGGCAACCTTGCCGGGTGCCATTCATTCATTCAACTCCATCTTTTCCTAATAAAACAACGATATAATGCTGGGAAGTGAGAAATTACCCAAGATTTGATCAGCTGAAGTCTTTTATATTTAATTATTACTCGCTTTTAATTGTATTTAGTATAGTATTAATATTGTTGTAATAGTGAGAATGTATCACAGACATGTATAATAGCAAAAAAGACAGTTCCAGGCAGAAAAAAAAAGCAAATAGATAATACAGGTTTGGCATGTCAGAAAAGCGGCAGGGAGAAGCATAAGCTTATTTAACCCCGCCCCCTTCTCCCTTGTCTGATATCATAATATCTACATAAGGAACCTCCATGTTCAGTCCTTATTTCAAATTATTTGTTTCCAGACATTTTTAAGACCATCTCTTGTTATTTTATGAACAAAAATTGTGGCAGAAACCAGTAAGCGTGTGATTTCAGAAGTTAAAGGTCAACCAGAAGCCCTTTTCCAAGTAAAAGTTTCATGGTGCTAAGTGAAGGGTTAGGGAATAAAAGAGCAGAGGGACGTGTTGTGCTTCTAAAAACACTAAGGGAAGATAGGAATTATTTTTGCCTTTTCTTTGTTACACCATGTCAAAGTCCTCCACGTTCAAAGGACAGGCAGTCCTACATGAGGGCAAAGCCTGGCAAAACTAAAGGGGACTGCTGTCGAGGAGCATTGCAGGATAATATGAACCATCAAAGCTCCTCCATCCTGCAGGTTATGAATCTGTCACTTTTCTGTGTTTTTTCTTCCTCTCTTCGCCTCCCTGTGACCCAGTTCTGCCGCTCTGCTGCACAAATCATCACAGGTCCCACTGAGATCCTCCTCCCCTCCGACCCTTCCCCCTGCTTGTACACATGGAAACGCACGCACCTCGAAACACACACATTGATTCCTGTTCTTGGAAGGCTGGCTATAAATAAAGCACACCTTTAGGTCAAAGATAAAAGATCAACAAAAAAAGATTAACATCATGACTGACAAAGGAGGAGAACCTGTTGGTGAGAACGACCTCAGCATGCATGAAGGATTTGCTTAAAATGAAGAATAGACATTTTTGTGGCTTTAACCAGCATATAAACCGTAACACAGTGAGATGATAGATTACAGTAAAAAAAAAAAACTTGGCAGTAGAGTTTAACAGAACCATGATCAAGTATTCATACACCTATACCAGTTTGTCATATCATCAAAAACTTGCAGTGCACTTTACTGCATTCTTTAAACATTTTTATGTGTTTTGTAAAAGGCAACTGCAAGTTTTTAGATGTGTCTGTTGCACTTCTTCGCAACATCTCTCAGTCCCAGACCAAATGCATGGAAAGGGACTGCAAATAACAATTTTATATTCTTTGTACAGTTATATTTAACTCTGGACTTTGACTAAACCAAACATAGACTGATTTAAACAGCCTTCTATGTTTTGGGTCATCGTCCTTGTGGGAGGTGAACCTCTGCCTCATTCTAGAGGCCTCTGCAACCTGTTCCTGTTGTAGAAAGACAATCCCACAGGATGATGTTGCCGCCACCGTCTTCCACTGTGAGAATAGCCTATTCGGGCAAATGATGAGTAATAGTTTTAGTTGAGAAAATTGTCTTTTGCATGTTGGACATTCTTTCCCTGTATACCTCCGGTTACAAAATGAGACACTGGATGTCTCTCTTTTAATCAATAAAGGCCAGACTTGCATAGTAAATGTGATATGATCAGCTAAGCACATATGACCTTATTACCCCCATATTGATATTTTTTACAATGGCTGCCTGTGTTTTATTATCAGTGTTATTGTGTTTTTCTAATCTTTACATTTAACCTGAGTGATCTCTTGTTTCCACATAACTCTACAAAATCACTGAGGTCTGCCGAAAAAAAAAACTTGTTCTGCTCAATAGAACTTCAGTTTTAGACTAAACCCTGTTGAACTTTGTGTTTTTGGTAAATGAGCAAATGTTCTAGATTATGAATACTTTTTCTGACATAACCAAATGGAATAATGCTTTGTTTGCCAAATGCTGCACAGATACTGACCGTTAAACTCCCCATTATCTTGGAGAAATGTAAAAAATTAACCAAATGTGGCCTCTCATGTTTAAAAATTGTTGCTAAAGTAATATGAAGGTTGCCAATGCTGCGAATAACCAGCAGGTGAGGAAATCTTTGATCCACTTACCCATTTTCAGTAAACCATCCATCATTCAGCTCTAATCCTCTGACCCCTTTGATTTATTGCCTGTTTCTGCAGTTATTTTTATCCTTCTCCGTTCCAAAGTTGTGCACTTGTCTTTTCGAAGTCCCAAATCACTTGTATTAGCCTCTATCTTCCAGCTTTACTATCTGACCCCGGTCTGTTCTCCCCTCTCTCTCCTCCCACTATTTGCATTTGTCCTCAGTGGGTCAATAGATGCTAAAATTGGGAACGTTTTGTGTCAACATACCCATTATGGCACCAAGTCACCAAGTAACCCTAAAGCGGTAAATTAAAAAGCTGCTGTGGGCACTTAACCTCGCTCTAAATTTGGATTTTAATACCTCATAACTACTTTTTGGTGGGCAGGTGGGGGTGGGGTGTGGGGGTGTCACAACATGCTTTCTGGATTTGGCTGTTGACACAAATTTAACAAAGAACCTTTAGAACTTTTCTAGGAAGTAAATAGGAAAAGGGACAACATGAACGTTGTCACAGTTTTAAATTAAGTCGTTCCCCTGTTGAGATTTCCTTTTATAGAAGTGACAGGTGGTTTTGAAAGGAGAGACTGAGATGTTCCAAAATGACAAAGACATTTTTTTAAGTCATACAAAATCATCAGTTTTTATCCTACTTGAAAAACGTTATTCCAATACACCCAACCTCTATCTGACAGCAGCTGGTAACACAAAAGCTGTTCACAAGTGAGCTGCTTTTAGTTACAATGCTTTTAATCATAATGATTTGCCTAGCTTCAAAGCCCAGCTTTGTTTTTGTTTCTTTTCTCTAGTTTCTCCTGCTTCCTTCCATAATCCAATAACTCGACTTTTAGGTTAACTGATCTTTCTAAATTGCCATCAGTTGTGAGTTTGGTGCGCAAATAGTCTTGTGTCCTGGGTGATTCTTTGGTGGCTTGGCTACCTGTATAGGTGAAGCTCACCGATTGCCTAAATACTGCTGCCCCTAATGACCTTACTGGACAATCTGGTTCATGGAAGGATAGATGTATTCAGAAACACCCAGGAACACCAGCGCCTATAAATCTGTAAGGTTTAGATTTTCTTACTGTACTAATTTCATTTTCTTTGTCAAGAAATAAATTATTTGCTAATTAAATAAGGGCTGAATTATTAAGCAAATTAATTAAAAACCTAATAGTGTATATATTTGTGTTAGACAAGTACAAATGATGGAACTTGAGGAGTTTAGGTTAAGGAGCCCCGTTTTAAAGTATGATTAAAATACTTTGATGGATGGACTACAATTGTTTCCCTACTTAAACAGATCTGAAAATTACTTTAATGAATTTGGTACAAATTGCATTGACCCAGGCCTTAGTTCTCTACACAGGTGTCCTGGATTTAAATCCTGTCCCAGAGACCTTTGCTGTATCAGATCCCCAATTCTCTTTTATTTTTTTCTCTTGCTTATTGTCTAGCAGCTCTCCAAACAAAGGCCGCAACAGCATCCTGTTATATTTTAAAATATTTGTAGTATTTTTGAATCTATTTTCTATTTGCTGCAGCTGTATAACAATAATAATTATTTAAAGTGTAAAAAAAATTGAAAATGACAATTAGCAAACAAACTAGAATTACATAAGGCATAATAATAATGAAACCTTTAAGCAAGAAAAAATAAAATATATTATATAAATATATATATATGTATAATATATATATTTATAATAAATTTGTGTCAATTCTTTTCCATTATTTTTTCAGTAGGTTTTATTAACAGTGGTAAAAACAAAATGCTCTTTAAATTAAGTTCCAAAACAACCCACAGCAGGTGAAATTAGGCCAGATTTGTGTGTAGCACATGGGAGACAAATGGTGTTTTCCACTCACAAGCACACACTCTACACATTGGTATCCATGCATGATCACGCACCGTCTCACCATGATGCAACGTGTAAATCTTTATCTCAAACAGACCTTTGCTCCTAAACTAGAAGCCTAACCTGCAGCTGAAGCACACACCTCTCCATGAGACAGAAAACCTGCACAATGTCAAAAAGGAGCAAAGGTCACTTTTACATTTGAAATCTAAGTTTCACATTTAAAGAGTCGTTTTAGATTTAATGTGAAAATGTGACTCTGGAAGACATAAAAAAATACCCTATTTGACTTTAACAAAGTTTTAGGTGGAAAATATTACTAAAAAATCAAAAATAGACTGGTTAAGATATCTCTGAGCCATAGATCGATCATTTGAACAGAGCAAACAATCCACATTATAGACCAACCATTACAAGAAATTCATGGCATTGTTAAATCTTAAGAGCATACAAATAACCAACCTGTTGGACGCCCCAAGGAGCAGGTCAAGAGACTGAAATGTAAAAAGGAAGAGGAGTGATAAATATTAATGGGGTGTGTCAGTGGTGAATTTTAGCGCCATCTTTTGGACAGATGTTACAGTAGTTCAATCTCAGAACATATCATAGTAGGGAAATAATCCTTTATTTGTCTCCATTGTGGCTGAATACAAAGCATATGGATAGATCTGAGCCCCCAGTTCAGATTAAAACCAGAAGTTCAACTGAGCTAAAAAGCGTGAGCAAGACGCTGGATAGAGGATAAAAGTTTCTTTTCCTGTGTGTCAGAGCTTGGTGAAAGTGATCCTAGGAGGGGTTTCGGGCTGCAGGATCAGAGTAACGTTGGTTTTGATGTCTTCTGAGGACGGCACACTGAGATGGAAGTTTAGCAGGATCTGAGTACAGAGAGGAGGATGAGGGGAGGCACAGAGAAGAGGAAGAAAGGGAGAGGAATGACAAAATTGAGAGGGATTACATTTAGTGCTTTAAAATGTTACCATTAGAGGCTGCTTTATCTTCTCAATTTCTATAAATGCAAAAGGACACTTAAGTCTTGCTACACACAGTATTTTTAGAACAGCAAACAGTTTTTTTTTTTTTGCAAACCTTCAGCAGTGCAGAAGGAGGAGCTACACCATGTTTGGTCTCCAGTCCGATCATTTTTAAATTACACCTTTATCAGCAAGCCTTTGTATTAGTGAACCTTGAGTTTGGCCATCTAATGAACTGATGACTGAACAAACCCAAAAGACAAACTAAAACCAAACATACTGTCTGTCTTTTATTCTTTTAGGTTATTGTATTTGTTTTCATTCCTGGATAATAGTACAACAAAATTGAAAAATTAGAGGCAAGTTTTTTTTAATCCAAAATACATTAATCCTCCTAGGGTAATGATAATGTATTCATGCTCAAATTAATAGATTAACTCCTAATATTGTTTGGTTAAAGGTTACAGAGAAACCAAATGTATTTTGTGGAAATCAGTCAGCTTCTGGCTTAGTATTTGACTGAGCTTCTTGACAGAATCAATAGTTTAGTGAAACCTAATGCATTCCTGCAACAGACATGTTTTTTTATGTTATCCAACAACAGGATAAGGCCGGGGTCGTTTCAGAAGCCCAATAGTATCCTGTTTTATCCATTTTCTTGTTGGAAAACATTTTTTTTTCTATTCAACTATTAATCAGCTGATTGGTGATAGTGTTTAAAGAGGCAGTGGGCTTTTTTTTTTTTTTTCTTAAACCTGACAATTTATTGCAGCGTTGCTGTTGTTGAAATGCTCTTTTTGACTGAAAAAAAAAAACTGATTTATTACCATGCGCCCCTGTCCACATGGAGATGGTATTAGGTGTATCCACAGACGTATTTTGCTGTTTAGGTTGTGTGTCCACATGGATCTGCTGTTTTTGGAGACCATAAACGATCATTTTTTAAACCAGTCACAGAGTGGGAAAAAACAGTATGGTGGCTTTGTGTTACTAGCCTGTATTGTGTTGAACAATGTATTGTCGCCCCATCTCCCTTTGTTAGCTGCATGCACATCACTCTCCCTAATAATACCAAACATTGCTCTGTTTGTTGTTGCATTTATACTAATGCTGCGTTCACCCCAACCATGATTTGAGCAGCAAAGATGCGTCTGCGGCTTCATCTTTGATGCTTGTCCATATTAAAGTCATCTCAAGAGCATTTTTAATCACTGGGAATTTTTAATCACTGGGAATCTCCAGCAAAAGCTCTGTCAGCACAGCCTGCCTGGTGGGGATTTTCCACTACTGTTCTTGGTTGCTAAAATTAGGTGTTAGCCTTTTCAAGTATGTGGTACAAACTGCATCCACCAGAACATTAAAAGCAAACACATTTTCGATGCTTCAACATTTCACGTTAACTCTGGTATTAACTGTTTCAGTGGAGTGACCCTTTGTCACAGATTCTGTTCATAACCTTTATGGACAGAATTTCTAGGCGCAGCCAAGGTGTTGAGGGGATCTGTTTTGGTGGCCTTAGGATTGCGTCTCTGTTATTCGCAGATGATGTAGTTCTATTGGCTTCATCAGGGCGTGATCTACAGCTCTCAATCTCAATCAAATAACAGCCGAGTGTGAAGCGGCCGGATGAGCATCAGTGCCTCCAAATCCAGGGCCATGGTGATGAGCTGCAAAAGGGTAGAGTGCCTTTTCCGAGTTGTGGAGGATGTAATGCCTCTAGTGGAGGAGTTTGAGTATCTTGGGGTCTTGTTAATGAATGAGGGGATGATGGAGCGGGAGATTGATAGGCAGATTGGTACGGCGTCTGCTGTGAAGCGTGCGCTGTACCGCTCTATTGTGGTGAAGAGAGAGCTGAGCCAAAAAGCAAAGATCTCGGTGTACCGATCTGCATTCCTATCGTCATCTACGGTAATGAGCTATTTCATGCCCCCCGCCCTTATGGTGGCACCTATCTCATATATATGCATACATAATAACGCAGTAGCTTATTAAGTAGCTCCATAGTTAATACTTCAATTTTAAGAATGTGGGTAATGGGTTGGTGTTAGTGGGGGTACTGGTACTACTGGGGAAGCACTCTTGACTGCATCCAGAATCTGAAAGAATTAGTATAGTACATACCTACTGTCTTAAAAGGCAGCTCTGTGTCAAGAAACCAACCAGTTGAATTTGCCAAGAAGAGAGGTCAGAAATCCAGCCAGAATTATTCCAGATAGTTTTGGGTTTACGAACATCATATCCTTGCTCTCTAATCCTCCCTTATCATTGATCTCCTGTCTTCCTCTCTTCCTGTGTGCAGTGACTCACATGCATTAGCAAGAGCTGCATCTCGTTTTCAGCAATCCTCCTCCCAACACACTGCCTCGCGCCAAATCCGAAGGCCAGAGAGCGAAACCCTTGACCCTCTCCTCTCCGGCCATCGTCCTTGTTGCTGCCGCACCAGCGCCCAGGGTCAAAGCGCAGGGGATCCTCGAACACTTGTGAGCTTCTTCCCATCGGATATAGACAGGCCTGGACCATTGTCTGCAAAGAAGGCAACAACACATAAGAAAAATATTTTTTTGAACATATGGAAAAAGTACGAGAGTAAACAACAGTTACCCCTGCAGGTATGTGGTAATTCTGGAGAATAATATCTCTGACTGGATACCGCTGCACTGTGATCCCCACCGGATACAACCTGAAACACACCAATAAACACATATTCATATTTTATAGCCATTTAAACAATTTTCCTTTCAATTGATTTGCAAGACAACCTTAAGTTTAACTTTTAAAAAACACACAAAAAAGCGGTTACCAATCTCAGATTGGTGAGTTGAGTGTGTTTGGAGTTAGAAATCTGGACTTTTATAAAACCAGAAGTATTAATAAAGCAGTTCTAAAGAACTTTCAATTGTGGTCGATCTTGGCTCCTCCTAGTGGACAAAAGCTGTAGGATTTTGCCTGAAGGCAGATAGCATTTCCCATAAGGAGCAACACACAGGGTGGCAAATTCCTGATCTCCTGGTTCCCTGCAGTTGGATTGAACTACATTTCTGTCTCCAGTGGCTGTGTGAAAGATGAATAGAGGTGAAGTAATGAATGTAATTGTGCGAAATAATGTCATATGACATTCCAAAACAGTTAAAAAACAATCCACTGGACTCTGTTTCCAAGTTTGAAGACGTTTTGCTTCCCATCCAGGAAGCTTTTTCAATTAAAAATGTCAGTAATAGCATTGAGTTTGAGGCTCTATAGAGTGGACCTAATACAGAAGCTTTTGTTTTTGTCCACTCTATAAAGCCTCGACGCGATTTCTGAACTTTTAATTTAGTTTTGAGTTTTGTTTTCTCTTGTGCAGCAGTTTACAAAACTTTTGCAACATTGGCAGTATAGTACAGAGAGTGACATGTGATTGAAATCACCAGTTATTGTCACAAATGCATTTGGCTATTGTAACTATAGCTTTGCAACAATGGAAGTGATTATCTCACACACGGTTTTGGCATCAGCAGAGGGTGGAATGTAAATGGTTTTCAAAAGAGAACTCCCTGGGCAAATAATATGAATGAAAACAAACTGCCAACTGTTCAATATCTGGGAGGCAGAGTTAAATCTTTACAGTAACTCGATGACACCATCTGTTCTTTACAAGCCATTCCAAGCCAGCTCCTTTGAGTTTTCCAGCATTTTATTAATTGCTGTCTGTTTGCCTGGTCAGAAAGCTTGGCAGAGTGACAGAGGAGTCTGGGATGTGATTCTGCAGCCACGCTTCAATAAAACACACAATACTGCATTGCTGATATTCTGTCTGAGTCCTTGCAAGAACTTGGAGCTCTTTTAACTTGTTACTGAAATATCTCACTTTGTCCATAATGAGTGATGGAAGAAACTGCTTAAGTTTCCTGCTATTCTTTCTTCTCTTTGCTCATGCTCAACATCCTCTGCGCCTCATTTTTAAAGCAGTGTGGAAATAGCTTTTGGAAGTAGCGCAAGTATAATTTTAAAAAGCTTGCATTGATTGCTATGGTTACACATCGTAGCAAATGTCCACAAAGGATAAAGAGAACCTCACAAAAAATCTTTCTAGTTGAAAAGCATCTAAGACCAGAGGTAAACAGAAAAAAGAAACTATTCAACAAACGGCAGCCATCTATAATAATTACAAGGTAATGTTGAAAAAAAAAAATACTTAAATGCAAGGAAATGATAAATTACAGATGTTACATCAAACTAATGGAAATAAACTGAAGGAATTCATAAATTAGCAATAAATTGTTGGGTTATATATTTTGTGACTACTGTGATTATTATGATCTCCTACAGTTTTTTCTGTCAGGGAAATTTCTCACATAGATTTCAATAGAAGCAATTTGTATTTTTTAATTTCCACTATAAATCATTTATTTAATAGAGATCCAAAGTGGTTATTTGCTATGGCAGGGAGTTAATCTTTGTACTTAAAGTCTGAACACATTAGCAGCTGTCTGGAAATTGTTTATTCATTTGTAAAGTTACACTTGCATATATATTCATTACAGAATCTCAAATCGTATACTTAGTGATTGAATTTATTTTCTCTCCAATGAATAGAAAAACATGTACCATTAATTTTAGCTGAACCTTATGCTGATTTACAGAGCCAGAATTCCTCAGCTTTAAAATAAGATTATGTGTTTATTTGCCTCAAAGTGAAACAACTGACTGATTAATTTTTTCCCATACTTTGCCTATTTTTGGATTGAATTGCTGAGTGATGAAGACAGTCCCACAGCATTGTGAAAAACACAATATAACAGAAATAAGTGACTTTTTGTAGCCAAGTACCTGAGAACCTCTTTGATTGTGGCTTTCAGCAGTGGTGCCCCCTGCAGGGCTTTCTGAGGATCACCGCCTGCCTGTGAGCATGATGTCCTCACTTGCTGCCTCACCCTCTCCTGCACCTCAGGGTTGCGTCCCAGCTCAAATAGAGCAAATTGCAGAGGAACGGCGGTCTGCACAGAGTATCAGATAAGATGTGACACAGACTCAGTCCATGAACAATAAAGAGGTGGATTAGCAAACACACCGTGTCAACCCCTCCAGCCATCAACTCGGTGATGTTGGCTTTGATTAGGTCCAAAGATAGCTGCCCTTTCTCTATAAGCTGCCCCAGAACCCCAGTATACTGGCCCCCAGCTGTCCCAGCCACAGAGTGAGGACCCTTAGAGGATGAGAGACGCTGGTAAGCCTTCTGGATCCTGGCCTCAGCTTGAAGAAGCAGAAGAACTCAGTTAGGGGGAAACTGCATCTGAGCAAATTTCTTGGGTGAACAAAACAATGCTGTATTTCTTCTTACCATGACTGAAGATGTGGTCCCAAGCAGTGGCGTGCTGGGTCCACAGGGAAGCACCAATGCGGAGCAGCAGACGAGGGGGGAGATACAGGAGAGGAGGTGTAGTTGTCAGCATTCGCTCCACTGCCCAGATGAACTTTTGAGATTCCAGGGATGGAGAGGAGGAGAAGAGGCCGATACGCTCCCCATAGATCACATGGCAGCTGGCTGCAGAGAGGAAGAAAGGATACAAGTGGGAGACTAAGATGGGTGAAGGGTTGGTGCTCCTTATGGTGAAAAACCAAAATAAAAACACAAAAAGTTTACTGGATCTCAAATGTTCAGCTTCTATAGCTTATTTGTAAAATCTACTGAAGGTTATTTTTAGCTTGTTCATTTCTTTTCTGTGATATACAAAAGTTTTAAATTTTGTTGGAATAATCATTGTGCACATTTCACAAGAGGCAGGAAACTATTAATGGTTTTCATTAATTTACTCATCTTACAAACGTATTCAACCCCCTTTATTCTGATACCCTTGGACTGTATCTGGGCCGATCACCTAATCTCACTTAATTAGTCAGTTCAATCCATCTGTATCCAGCCTAATCTCAGAAGAGATCAGGTGGTTTTATTACGGATCACAAAGTCTTACGGAGAAAATTAGAGAACAAACAGCACCATGAAGAGTAGGGAACACTCCAGAAAGGTCAAGGAGAAAGCTACAGAACAATTTAAAGCAGGATAGGACATAAAGCAATATTCAAAGCCGTTAAACCTATTAAAACATGAACATCGACCAAAACTGACCGGCTAAAAAGCAAGAATATTAGCAATCAAGAAAATTTGCCAAGATTGTCAATCAACCTGACACACACTTTTTAAATGAAATTTATTTTTGTTTACATTGGTGTATACAAAATGACAAAATAAATCTAAGTCTAAGTCTAAAGGAAGACACACTATCGTTATGGTGATCCACAGTTAAGTCATCATCCTGCAGGATAGAGATGTACAGAATGAAATGCCGCCCAGGAATAAAGCTAATATAAATATAAAGCCAGAGCTATAAAAAAAAAAAAAAGGTTAAATCAAAGTTTACTGATGTGATATGGTGGCCTAGTCAAAGTCCAAAGCTAAATACAATCGATATTTTTTGGCAAGAATTGCAAACCACAGATCCTCTCCTTCCAATCTCACCAATGGTGGATCCTATAAGTTTGACACAAGGGAGGGGGGGCAAAGAAGGCACAAAATGTTTAGGCATGCTGGCGAAGCTGGACTCCTTCATTTCTATAAGAAAATATATAAGAGATCTCTTATATGATAAATTGGAAAAAAAAGGTGTACTTTACTCTTCTGAGAAGCAAAGACAACTTTCAGGTATGTGAGAAGAAATATTCCACAAAACAAAGAAGTAGAAGTCTAAAAGGAACTTAAATTCCCACTAACAGCTACTTTAGCCATCACTTTTAGGAGAGCTTAAGGTGACTCTTTCAAAGACTTCCAAGGAAGCAAAAAGTCTCAAAAAGATTTTAAAACCTAAACTGGAATTTATGCTGATAATAAATATGCACCAGATGGTCCAGATGGATAGGCTGGATTCTCTGACTCTGAAGCTTCCTCTTCACTCATCATTCTCCTCTACATTGTCTTCTTTCTCCCTCTGACTCTTATCTTCACCACTAATAAGATTTACTCATTTCTTCAGCTGTTGCAAGTCTCTTCCTCGTCTCTCTTCTTTTCTCATATATCCGTCGTTTATCCTTCTTATCCCTTTTCTTTTTACAGAAATTTCTTCACTAATTTTCATTGTGATCTACAAGATTTAGAAAAATCAGCCCAGTTAAGTAAGAAGTCTACTGCAATATGAAAAAATAAATGATTTACTACCTTAACTTAGGTCACAAGAACAGCTTACTAAATGATTACGATTAGTAATCATTTAGTAAGTATGTCACTGTTTTTTAAAGCAGGGGGCAGTTTTCCCCCTTTCCCCCCTGTAGAGCTGCCCCTGAATACGACACTGGGAAATATGTATGGGGGAAAATTCCAGTGTCTCGTTTTGCAAAACTGAAAGAGACACATGCAGAAGACATTCCATTATAAATACACAATAGCTGGTTTTAGAAAGTACTGATTCAGCTGGGAGGACTAAAAACAGCTGCATGTCACATTTATTTATAAAGTGATGAAAATGTAATCCTCCTCCACCTCCAAAAAAAAAAAAATGTAACCCTCTCTGTAGGTTTATCACCAGAATCCCCAACAGATACACTGAAGTTTGAGTTTATGATGTGACACAATGTGATAACATTTAGCTTCACAGTAAATGATTATTTCTCCCTGGATATCATCCTCACATTTCTCTTTGCTTTCATCTGTGAATCCATCCCTGCAAAGAGAAGCAGATGCATTGTCATGGAGAAGCTCCAGCCCCCTCCTCACACATCCATTCACTGTCAGACGTGCTTTCAATACTTTATCCTCTCATAAACCTCCTGGGCTTAGTTTCAACTGAGTCAATTCTCCTCTGGCTTTGCACCTTCCGTGCGCCGCGGCCCGTTCAGATCAGAGCCATGAAGTCATCAGCTTCACACTCACGCATGCAGAGAAACACATGGTACGCTGAGTCACACGAGGGTGACTGACAGTTAAGAATGTGGTGGCAGAAGGATGAAAGGCTGCAGAACATCACCTCTGATATTTACTTGATATGTTTTCCTTGACCTCCGATATCGTCATCACGTGAAAGAGGTCAGGTTGTCGTTTTGCTCAAAACAAGGTTAAAATATATTCACTTTGAAATATGTTGCTAAAATGAGTTCTAATTTGTTCAGTGAAATTCTATCTAACTTCACCAAAGAGTGATATTTCTGTAAGTTGTGTAAGTAATGTCAGAAGATGCTGGAGCCTCCAGCCTTTCTGACTAGAATTGATGATTTTGGAGCAGATTCTATGCAAGCTGCATTAATATACACCACCCCTGTGATGTTTTTACTTTTATGGCCTTTATGAGTATTTCAGCTAATAAAGCAAAGCGTGATGAAGATGCTCCCTGACCTTCCAGTGCGAAGCGGAAAAGGTCAGGGCTTGGATCGATCGTGAGGCTCCGCCTGCCCTCCTCTCCTCTCCCTTCCCTCTCCACCCTTGCCTGCAGCATTCCACTGAAGTCCTTTGCCACCTCCTCGAGGAGGGGGAGAAAGCGCCTCACAGCTGCACTTAGCATCACCTCCTTGTTGAGCTGAAGGCGGTCAGATCTCCATTCCTCTCCATTTCTGTGCAGAGATGAGCCACAGGGAAGTATTAGACCAAACCAGTAGATTTTAATTACCGGTAAGCAAAATTAGAATTTTTCTGAGCAAAACCAAAAAGAGTGTTATTTTTGTTACTCCTCTCTAACCATCGTTACAACTTATTATATGAACAATATTATATGAATAGTGAATACAGGCATGCAGAATCACTACCCCCCTCTAACACCTTACATTTATTTATTTATATATTCTCTTGACTTGATATTTTTGACAGTATTTTTTCTGTCAGATTACAACCACAACATTTTATGTGTTTTATCTATTTTTTATGTTACAGTACAACACAAAACTGTGAATCTAAGAAGACATGGGTTTTGTTGTATATGATTTTTTTTTTCACAAAAATAATCAGATGCTCCCACTACTGACTAGATGGTATGTTTGGTGTTCAATAATATTAGCTTGTTTCTTATCTGACTCGATCACCTTATTTCCTGTTAACGGTGACTTGTACAGGGCTTGTGGTAAACTGCAGATAGGACATGTTATGGCTACCTTTTAACAGCGATTTTCTTTTAACAATTCTTCTATAAGGTCACCTGTGGATCGCTGTAGGTCTTCCAAAGTTACAATGAGCATATTCTATAGAAGTAGATCTGTATTTTGGGTGCAAACGTCTCTACATTGCATTGTGAGTTGCACAGCAAAAAAATCTGAATTTGTGCAGCTAAATATTTACCTTTAGCAAAAGATTATAAATATAAAGGTGACACTTTCTTTTACAATACATCAATAACCTTATAATAACATGGTAATAACATTGCAAGTCACATTACATTACCTTGTAACAAGAAATACTTTATTTAGTAATTACCCCAAAATGAAGGTATATAATTTAAAAGTACTTACCTGCATGTAATTATTATAATTGTATGCTGCTATGTAACAATGGAGATTTTTGGTGGGTAATTACCATTAGGTTATCACTTAACACTTTCCATTATTGGCCACCACCTGCCAACGGCTTACAAAGTAAATTGTAACTCATGATCAGGTAAATAAAGCATTATTAAACTGAACTCAAGTTACAAATAAATACGAGTTTAGTTCAGACAATTAGCTTGCCGTCTTCTAGGTTTGGTTTTCTGTTATATGCCAAGTAATAAAGTGCATTTTACTAGATAACAACACATTAATTTATTGCTGCTGGCGAAATGACTGAGTTACCTCAAATCTTAAATCTTAGAAGTCTGACTTTACTTTGTCTGCCTAAAATTTTAATCACAGCACTTACCAAAATTCCACATAGTTTTTCTTGTTAACTAGTAATATAATGTAACTTGCTATGTTATTACCATGTTATTACATGGTTATTGATTTACTGTAAAAGAAAGCGTTACCTTAAACTCTTCATCTGCAACATCTTTTTTTTTTTTACAAAGACATGTAAGAGTTGAATGTGTTCAGCAGCAGATTGGAGAATTTGTGTTCACTGACCTGTTGCTGGAGAGCAGTGTTTTTCAAACCTGGTCCTCAAGGCACCCTGCTCTGCATGTTTTGGATGTTTCTGAGGTTCAGCAAACCAGATTCAGATGATTGCAGTTCAGCAAAGCCTGATAATCTGCTAGCAATTGATAACAGGTGTGTGAAAGCTGGGAAACATCTAAACATGCAGGGCAGGGTGCCTTGAGGACCAGGATTGAAAAACACTGCTGTAGAGAAAAAAATGAAAGTTAAAAGACATGCAAACTAAATATGAATTATTTGTTTGGGTGAAAGTTGCAGGTGAAGTTTTATACTCAGCCCTAATCTAATTTTGATTGTAGAGAGTTTTTGGAAGCTTATTTTTAAATAATATTTAATATTTATCTCCATTCATTTTCTGGCCTGTCAGTTTAAATGGATCAGCAGTTGCTGGTGTGTTTGTGATCTTTGGTATTTATTTTCACAACATGTCCCTGCATTAAACTTTTCCACAAATTTATCCCTGACCTGTCTACTTCCTTCCTTGGCTTACATGGTGTTTGTTTGCATATGTTCAGTTATAAAGCTAAATCACACACCGGTCTGCTCTATTAGACTTTAAAATGTAATTTAACTTTGAATTTAAATACTATAATTTGCCATCACAATCATAAATCACTTTATGCTGCTCTATCCCATATAATCCAAATAAAGCACTTTGGAGCTTTTAGTAATAATGTACGAAAATGCAAAACATTTAAAAGGACATAAATACTTTTGCAAGGTAAAATGTTTGATATAAACCTTAATGCCAACTGAAACAAATTAAAATAAATGAAAAGGATCACCTAAGTCATTCACCAAAGCATTAAGTACCATTATAGAAGCAGTTCATATTATTTAGAACTGAGCACAGCTTTTCAATGTCAGCAATGTCTTTACAAATAAATTGGTACAGAAGTTTGTTATAAAGTACCTAAACTACAAGATCTATTTAAAATAAGACCCCTGTATCCAAAACCAATATTAGGGAATAAGATGCACCCGACCTTTTAATGGGTTTTACTAAGACCTGAGAAAATTGTAAGTAAGAAAAAAATATATATATTCAGCTAAAAGAATTATGTGCATAATTCATTCAAATTTGTAAGGAGGTACTTATTCACTGTAAAAACTTTAATAAGCTGTTACCAAACAAACCATATTGAATTATCTCTAATCTAATTTTAATCAAAACATAAAGACATACAATTTTATCTTTTTACAATGTGGACATATTTTATTCAGGTCCAGTAGTTTTTAAATGTTTTTAAAATGAAAACAAATTCATGGACTGAGTAATCTGTTGAAGGTTTTCTGTTTAATGTGACCTGATCATCTTTAATGTTTGACCAAATTAAAGATCGCTGGAGTTAAAACTTTAAGATCATCAAGATAATTCCCCAGTCAGTGTGAAAAATCACAGCAACTGAACTCAAGTATTAACTGCAAAGCTTTACTGAAACATATTTATAGTAATAATTTTATGTTTGATTTTGTACTATTATATTTAATCTTTTTGCATTTCATCTCTTGGTGAGAAGAGTGACAAGAAAGTAAAATATACCATGCTTCTTTTCATCTATTTTGTCCCCCCTCCTCAAAAAGAAACTACTGATAAATTACCATAATATTACCAAATTGCAATAATGATCTAAGAAATCTCTACAGACGACTAAGAAGTGCATATGTCCACAACAGGAGTGATTAAAGCAGAGACAGGGCACTGACTTGAGGAAAACTCCCTTGCTGTGGTTGCGTATCTCTCGGTGTGTGGCCCACGGCTGCAGGGTCATACGTCGAGGGTGCAGCCCCTCCGACTGAAACAGCTCACTAATGTCAGATGGCAGCAAGATGTTCACGCTGCTAATAGTGCCCACCTTCTCCCTTTAAACATAGGCAGAAAGCTGGTGTAAAAACAACTACAGCACAAACAGGAAACAATGCATGTTACCTGTAAGCCTTTCTGTACCTGTAGATGGGGCCGAGGGCGTTGAAGGTCCTCTCCATGTGCTTGTGGAGCTGCTGGAAACGATTTTCTCTCCAGAACCTCAGCAGGTTGATCCAACCATTCCTCCCCGTGTGAGGGATCTCCTCAAAGCGTTTCACCCTGCCATCCACACCCCCTTTTCTGACTGCTTTTAGAGCTCCTTTACCTCCGTCTAGGTTTGCATGTACCACAGTCCCTGCTGCAGTCACACAAAAACGCTTTTGAGGTAAAGCACCTAAAATCCTGGACCCAGATGTTCCCTGCACTCTCCTCATGGTCCAACCAGGATGTGTCGGTCACTCTCATCCAGAGTGGTCAGGACTGGTTATTTTTCTGCACTATTTTCAACCTCATAGAGCCTTGGATGTGTTTTTATTGGTCTGTAAACCGATAGTAGGCAGTGATTTATTAATCCTGCCGTCAGAGTTCAAGAGAAAGACAACAGAGCCAGAATATCTTCACAAAACAGAAACAGCAGCTGGACAAAATCTTCAATAAATGTTTCCACCAGCACAAAATCTTTTCAGGTTATTTTATTTCTTTTCCATTTGGTATAAAAAAAAATTAATCGTCCTCATCACTTACTATAAGCTTAACAGAAAAAACAAGATAAGAGCCTGAAATATAGCTCATAACAGGAAAACAGATACAGTGTTCTGATACAGTGTTTAGTCCAATGTTTAGGTGAAATGATGTCTACCATCAAACAGGCTACTAATGCTCCAACATTCTTAACTGTGTCTGGTTTTAAAGTATTTCACTAGAGTGGATTAAAATTCCTCCACGGTGATAGAAAAGACTCACTAATAGACGCTTGATGGCAGCTGCTGCCTCCCAGGGTGACACATCAAGTTAATTTTGTTTTTTAAACAGGGACAGGTTGATTCTGTATTTTTAAGAAACTGCATCAATACTCAAGGTATTTTTGTCTAAATTGGACAACAACAAAAAAGCAAAAACAGATCTGTTATGAGGGGACGCTACATTTTACAGCACAGTTAAGGAAAACATTTAAATAAAACATTGTGATGTTTAAATGTAAAACATAAGAGTTTAACATTTTATCATCATTTATCCCTGAGGTTCCTTACTTGTGTATAGATCACCCAGTTGGATCTATAGTATTTACTGAATGCCCAGTCAGCAAGCATCATTAGTAACACTGCAGCCTGCATTTGCTATGAAGTAATTAGCCTAATAGAAAATGTTGCTAATGAATAAACAAAAGCTAAAAACAACTGTCCACTGGTTTACATTAATTTGTAAGCTTGCAATTACATTTAAGCACAACTAACCTCTGCAGGAAGCTCTGCAGGAAGCATCAGCTAATAAATTGTCCCAAGATCAAGGGGTGCTGACTTCACAAAACATTTGATGATATTTTGCTACATAGGTGGAAGTGCAAACAATAATTTGATTATTTTAACATATTTTAGCTCTAACCAAAGGTTCCTGGTAGTTTATTTTGTTATTTAGATCTTTTGCCCAAATGGTAAGAAAAATCTCATCAAACATTTTCCTATTTTCTAATCATTTTTAGCTCTTTCATTAAAGTCACTATGCTAGGTTTCATTAAGAACATGTCTTTTACAAGCTTGGAAATAATTTGTATGTAATACATTTTACAGTCATTACATTCCAGTACTGATAAATAAGACAAAACACCATCTGGCAGCACATCTTTCTGTCATTTTAAAACACAACTGACTACATGACCCGACAAGAGTCTCCATGAGTTGGTGTGGGCGTCCTGCTGGGTTTCCCTCCTATAAACACAGCCCTGCTGATGCTGAGGCCTTGGAGGGCGCTCAGCAGGTTGAAGCTGTCGTCCTTGGTTTTGGTTTCAGGATGAATCATTTTGGACAGCTCAGGGGGGAGCGATACTTTGCTGCCAGCAGACCTCAGGTGGTTCGTGTCCTCAGGGCTCTGAATCGTGTTGGCAAAACAAAACAGGGAAAGAGGTGAAGGCCACAAAAGATGACCGGAACAAGAGCTGAACTCCCACAGTAATTTAGTAGCATTAAATACATACATTATATGCAAATACATGAAAAGATCAAAGAAAAAAAAGAGACAATAATTGTTTTCAAATAAGTTTGAGTGTTGGTCAAGTGGTTAGAGCAGTGTGCTTTTGCTATGAGCAGGTTGCAAGTACGATCCCCACAGCCTCCACTCTGGGTCCATTAGCAAGACCCTTCACCCCCACACTGCTCCCCTGGCGTCGCACAATGGCAGCCCACTGCTCCCCAAGGGGATGGTTTAAATGCAGAAGTAAAGTTCTACAGTGTGAGATCAATAAGGTTTAATTATTACTCATAGTTTGTTAGTTGAAAACCTCATTGATTGTTAATTGAACAGCAGCTGCTGATAAACAGGAATTAGCTTGATTAAGAAGAGACCCTGTGAGAGAAATGATACGAAATGTTTAGTTAATAGTGAGATAGTTAAGATTGCGCTGAGAGATCACGGATCGTTCCTCAGTTTATCATCTACTGTAAGTTTTCAGCTTTTTGATATATAACTTAATTTAGCCAAATGACCGTGTTTTATTTCTCAGAGCATTTGATCCTTAATATGTTTCTTAGATTCAACCAAAGAGACGGGGATACAATTTGTCTTTAGCTGCTGTTACTAAGTTAATAGAGATCCAGTGTTATATTATTTAAACTAAACGTCTCTGCACAACAGGGATTTGAATGACAGTAAAAAATGTTGATTAATATTTCACATCGGTTTTACTCTACAAAAAAGTGTACCTCAAAGAAAAGATTAAGTTTGTGACCAAACTAATAAGAATTACAAGTTATTTTTTTTTCCTAACATACCTCAGAAAGCCGATATTTTCTCCTAAAGTGAGATCTCATTGCTGCTCTCTGAGCGTTCTTCTCAGTGTTCTTTGCCTCCCGCAGCTTCCTGTATACAGAGAAAAGAAACACGACAATACTAAGTTCAGTTAAACTGGATACGGAAGGCTTCCAGATAAGATACAGTTCACATTAACACTCCCACATTCAACCTTTTTTTTTTCCACTGAGATGTTTGGTAGGTTAAATAGAAATGGATTTTAATTGCCAGTTTTGATTTTAATTTTGTTCCTTACAACCACAAACCTAAATGTATGGCGTCAGTATTCTGCCAAAAGTCCACACACACAAGAAATACTCCCAGAGCAGCTTAACTTCATATAGACTCTCATTACCTGTTTCTAACCTGCATGTTAAAGATATAACATCTTTTGGATGAACACTGGATTCTGACTATGTGCAGCGTGTAAGTTATTAAAAAGAGTTATAAGACATCTACACTGGGTAACTGGGCAACAATTAGGACTCAGGACCCTCTCACTTGTAAATTAATCATATGCAGCTTCAAACAGGTTACCTTCCAAGTTTTCTCTGTTTTCTTTCCGTGATCTGTAAACTAATTGATCTGTCCCTGCTGAAGATAAAGCCTCCCTCTTGCAGGAATTTTGACTATTGCTGTTTTCCCCTTCACCTCTCAGGTGGAGGTCTCTTCATCAAGATGTTGTTGTTTTTTTACCTGCACCTCTAGTGTCGCTGGAGTCTTTATTTTAACAGTTTAGGTGGATGTCTACTTTTTAAAAGGTTTGCAGTTGTTTTACAGCTGTTTCCATTCCAGACGAGGTAGCAGGCTCAATTTGTGGCAGCTGCTAATGGCTCTTCCAGTGGCAGCTGGAGCTCATAGTGACACTTCCTGTGGAGCTTTCACTGGCATGCAACTGCCAAAAAGGTGCCACGGCTGTTGCTGCACTGCTGTTGCTGTTTTCTGTAAGGTATTTAAGTTTTTGGATATTATCATATAAACTAATTCTGCTTTAGTCCTCTCTACAATTGTATTCTGGACCTGTCTGATCTATTTCTTAGTCTTCATTTTCCCTAATGTTCTAAAACATACCTTTGAGACATTTTCAGAACAGCCGGATTTACAGTGAGATCAAGTTAGGATAAGCCAAATTCTTTTTACGCATTAGGTCACATTTGGAGGTTACCCTGGGTTTGATTAGGGGTATCAGAATAGTTTGGTTTGAATGCAAATGCAATTTTCCAATATTATCCTGTATGCACCATAGCTCAGTTTTAAGCTCTGTGGTAAAGGCTGTAAATATTAAATGTAATTCCTTAATTATTTGTTCATAATAAAAATTGCAACAGCTGTCATGATGGTGTATTATGTGAAGTACTCCTATGGAAGAGATTAATCTAATACCATTTGGAATGTTGCTGTAACTTAAGTACATTTGAAAAGTATAGCTCTGTGAATACTCTCCAAATGGATTATAGGTAGCATTTTCTTTTCACCTGACAATTATTCACCATTTTATACATGTCTGTCCCACAAAATCCGAGCAAAATATTTCAAGATTGTGGGTGTCATAAGTTCAATGCCAAATGTGAATAATGTCAAAGGATTTAATACTTTTGCAAGCCAAGGACTGTCTGTTTCTGATTAACTGCCTCCACTTGCCTCTCTTTCTCCAGGTCAGCCTGGTATGAACGAAAGACTGAGGGGTCTTTAAGATCTGGAAAAGGTGGGGTTTTCCTCAGTACTCTGCAGCCTCGGTAGCTGCTGCCCCTCTTCACTCTTTGTCTTGCACACAACCTTTTCTTATCCCCCCCCGTCACGCAACTGGTTAGGCTCCTGATGGGCGACCTCAGCGACTTCTTCACTCTTGCCAAAGACTCCATGATGATAGGCAGTTTGTCTGGCAGAGAGGAATCTACCACTCCTATTTCCTCGAAAGCTGACGCGTGGATCTGTAATGGCTTTCTCCTTCACTCATGCTGTGTTACTCTGGCAGTCTCTCAGCAATAACTCAGGCTGAGGCCTAGCAAGGACAAGGACAAGACGTTGGACAAGGCTCAGACGCTCAGGTTTAGGCCTTCCATGCTCTGCTTACATACACCAGGGAAGTGCTTATCATCAGTCAGATGTCTGGAAAGTAGCTAAAACATAAAGCTAAGGCACACACAAGGACAAAAAGTGACAAATGTTACACCGCCGTTTTGCATGATATTAATGTGGTTTTTTGCTTATGGGCACACCGTACAAAAGTAACTACAGATTTTTTACCTTTGCAGATAGTCACAGTTGAACAGTTGCTTCTTCCTCCTGATTCCCTTTGCAACACTACCTGAGGACAGCCCTCTTCAGAACACATAGATGTGGTAACAGGGTGAAAGGGGAGATGTTGGATATGTGGGGTTGGGTCCTCGCTGGAGAAAATAAACTCTGTCCCTGCTTCCCCTCTTCCTTTGAGGAGACTCACTTCACACTTTGCTGCCCCCAGCTC